TGGAAAAGAAAATGTTTCGAAGATGCGTTTCAATTAAAGTCTAAACCAAGCTTTAAGAGGAAATATGCATGATAATCACAAAGGTATTGACCGACAAAAGAAAACATTCAACCAGGTTACCGAGAGCAACGCCAATGTTACCTTAAGAATCCTATGCAGTCTCCTCCAGGGTACAATCATCCTTTCTAGGTATCTGTGTGTGTCCCATGGCCTGATGATGTCTCCATGCTATTCTGCGCTTGTTGTATCTTCCGCTGTCGGTTAGAACGATCTAGAATGCGCATGGCAAGCCCTGCAGGATGGAACGTAGAGTTAAGATCCTGAGTTACCACATTTGCATTTTTGATGTCTCGCTGCGCTTAAGATAAATTAAAGACGTGATTGATGGTTGGATTCGCGTGATTGCACTTGATTAAGAAATAACAAAGTGGTTTCTAATAAAAGAAACCGTTGGGCTGCGTCAGTGAGAAAATGAAACACTGACCTATTCATTGAAGTTGATAGTCCTTGGTCAGAGCAAAATGGGTTTTTGGCTTTTGTTGATGGCCTGAACGCACAAGTTTTCTGACGATTTATTCGTCTTTAAAAATAGTGTCGAATGGTTAGGCGGATAAGTCATCTTGTGTTAGTCGATATAAAAGCATATCAAGAAGGATGAAGAGTGCCAAACAGACGCTTTTGAAATCAAGGAGACTGGTACAAAAAAGAAAAACAAAACGGCTGCCGTAGATCAACATATATCGAGTTCCATTTTATAAGCGTAACAAAACATGCAGCTCGCAAAGAGCTTCTTTCGTCCAGGAGACTTGTGATGTCAAATTACCAAAGTTGCGCAGTAACCAGCCTCTTTTTGAGTCTTTTTGAGAACTAGTTTTCCAAACCAAGGGTCCATAATTGATCTCTATTGGCATTCAATGACAGCCAATTACAATTGAAAAATTTGCAGGCATATACGGGAGTAGTCCCATATGGAATGACCGTTTTCACACTAGAGACGGAAAATCCGTATAAGACGGGTTATCCTTTCAGCACGGATAATCCGTCTTAGTGTGAAAAAATAGACGGATAATCGGACGGATAAAAATAGACGGATTATCCGTCTAAAATGAACACCGTTCCGTTTTCACACTAAGACGGATTATCCGTGCTGAAAGGATAACCCGTCTTAGACGGATTTTCCGTCTCTAGTGTGAAAACGGCCAATGTAACATGATAACATTTGTACAAGAGCTTAAACCGGATTTTGTTGGAGCGGTCGTTACAAAATGAACCATTCTGAGTCCAGTTCTGTCAAGAGAGCTTTGACTTGATAGCACTTTTAGGTTTGTAAACTGAATATCGACACTACACTTTATTTGTTACAATAACCTATACAAAGTTAATTATTTTTCCTCAAAATTGCGGCAAAAGTTGTGAAGACTGAACTGAACTAATCTTTTCGATAGATCAACGAATCAACCACTTTTTTTTCCACTGTGTTTACTGTTTTGTAATTTCTCTAAACATTCAGGCACGTTTGATTTCTCTCGTTCATCACCTGACCAAATCATATGACTTTTCCTGTACGGCCGCACAGCATCACGTCGCGCGAATTTTAAAACTTGGCCGGAAGTTCTGCAGTCTTCTGAGTCAATTTGTCGGGTACTTTCGCTTCCTTTCTATAGCTCTAGTTAGCTTTGCAATTGGTTCACGGCATTGTACGGTATTATTTCCCCTCCTTTCTCTAGCCCTTGACTCGCTATAATTCACGGCATTGTTCAGTACTGTTTCGCCTCCTTCCCCAGCGCTGGCCCGCTCTTTTTTCGCGATCTTCTTCGCTACTTCTTTGCATGTTAATTCTTGCTTTCTGTTTTGTTTTTTTGGTTCAGTGCAACCCTATCTTAAAAACATTAGATCAACCTCCGCTATCGTTTGTCGACACAACAAATAGAAATGAGTTTTCTTTTCTTTAAAAATCCCGCCAAGAAAAATGGCACTTTTCCGCTATAAACCGAGGGTGCATATCTCTGTCAACCTATTAGCTGGAGAATGGCCGTCATGTTGGGCAACTCCGCCGCCGCCGTCGTCGTCGTGCGCACGCGCCCACGAGCAATACCGCTAGCCATGAAAACCATCAGAAAATCCATTCATGGGTCTTCTTTTCTATCCCATATGAGTGTGGGGCTCCGCTTGGCGGCCCTTCGGGCCGCCGGAACTCCGCTACAAATCTACTAGCGTTCTATCACGAATGCCGTTCTCTGACTGGTTACGCCACTCACTATCAATTCCGTGATAGATAGTGCGAAGCGTAGCGGTGTGCCCTTGCTGACAAAATGACGGCCGATTCTTAGCAGTTTCGAAGCGTCTGTGAAGAGGATTTAGATGAAGTTTTGAACGACCAGTAGCTTTACTAGATTTATACTAAAACAATTAGATTATTCGCTCTCGATTTCTATGCGTGATAGTTGACGAGGGCGCAGCCCGAGTCAACTATCACGCGATAGAAATCTCGAGCTCATAATCTAATAGTTCAATAGAAACACTCGTGAAAGTTTGGGAGAACTCGAAAAAGCTGTGGTAACACTCGCCTGTCAGTTCGTGTTCCCACAGCATTTCTCGTTCTCCCAAACTTCCACTCGAGTTTCTATTAAACAATTAGATTATGAGCTCGAGATTTCTGTTTAACCAATCGAGTGTTTTTGTCGAGGAACTATCGGCTTATAATTGCCCCTTGGAAATTTAATGTTCTCAAAACAGTAATGGCAAAATGCATTCATGTGTCCGTTCAAAGTATTTTGTCAACATTGCGCAGGGGTGGGGAGGAGCTTCGGGATGGGTACTCCCAGAAAAATTGGGTGGGGGAGTGCGGCCCGCTTCCCAAAACCCTGACCCTATTTATGGCCAAATTCTGTGATTTTCCCTACCCTATTTATGACCTGACCAAAAAATTGATACCCTATTTATGACCTGACCCTAAAATCAATACCCAGCTCAGACCAATGGTAAATTGCCGTAAACATAAGTTGGGAAGGGCTTTGTTGATGGTCTCATCGAAAACGATGAAAAAGTAGTTTCTTCTCATAAAAAACATACCCAATTCAAAATCCATACCCTGACCAAAAATCCATACCCTGACCAAAAACATGACCAAACCTGCTGAAAAGCCCTACCCTTTAGGGGCGCACATACCTATACAGCCTATATAAGAGAGTACCCCNCCCCCCCCCCAGGGGAGGGGCAAAATGTGCGGAAACCGGAGTGTTTCAACAATTATGACGAGGCTTGTACAAGTCGTTATATCAATGTGTCACAAGGAAGACTTTGGGACTGTGCGAATATTTCAGCAAAGGAACTTCCACTTCTAATTTGTCTTCTCAACAGTGTTTAATCGTTGTTATTCGACTGGCTTCAAATCACTAAGTGAAGCTTACAACCCAAATGACGCTATGATAAAGCACGTTCCTGGTCGTCAGTGCTCTGTGATTGGTTAAGATAAACTAAACATCGTTTTGTGATGGGTTAACCTAAGCTGTTTTGTAATTGTAACCGAACTTAATAACGGCGGCGTTCTTTTAATCCGGCTGAATCATGTTCTTGGTTTGGCTAGGAAAAACCGACATAACTATCAAACTGGACGGTTCCCTTAAAAGTTCGGCAAAGGTGAACTTAAATTAAGGTTGCCTTACATACCAATCACTGACACTGCAGAGACTGGACGAGTTATATTTTACTGATAAACGTGATCTGTTTTCATAGTAACGTTTCAATGCAACAAAGGCAGTTGGAGTAACTTCCGGTAACAAAGTAAACTAATTTAAGTGGTCCATTGTTCGTAAGGTTGTATGGAACCAAATGCTCCACAGTTCGTGCCGGTCCCAGGATAGTCCAGCTACCAGTTTACGCTGAAGGAGAAAGCTTACAATTACAGTCGTTAACAAACTAAAAAGATGACCAGACTGACTAGTACTCAAGCATCGGGTGAAAATGAGAGCGTGAATAATTAATTTACCTGGATTGTATAGGGCCGGGTTGTTCAAAGCCCGATTAAGCTAACCCAGGGTTAGCAAGAATTTTGACTTCAGTTTTGTAACTCTTCGGTGAGGTTTTCTGGTTATAATGTTTGGCATTCAGTTTTGAGCTTGTCTAAGCTCAAACTACACAAAACGTGAGCAATAAATAAACATTTTTATACAAGAAAAATTAATAGTTCAGTTAATTTATAATCTTCGGTTAGCGTTAACCGGCTTTCGAACAACCCGGCTTGGAACAAAAGTCCTTTACAATTCCGACTGAAAAGCTACAAAGCCAATCGGAAGTGAGTAAACTCCGCAAGAAAACAAACAAAAGAAGGGATTGGTGTGTGGAAAAGTTCCCACGAAAGACTTTCCCAACGTCCGCAACATATGTAAATTTACTGAGAGAGCGTGTACTTAAATCAACAGGATGAAAATCAACTAAAATTTGGGATTATAAAAAAAAACATGAAATATATAAGATCGTGTGCCAACAAATGCCAGAAAATGACCAAACCAAAACCATGCATATCAGCTGCGAAAAAGCTAAAAACAAAAACCTTGTCAATGCCTTCAGAAATGACTGAAACAACGAGGTTTATTCGTCATGTCTTTGAGTTCTGTTTGTTCGTTATATGCGAGTTCGTGAAACCAAGGTTCATTACCCGGTACCAGACTATCCTAGCTGACATAGCTTTACACCTTCGATGTGTCGGACATGATTTCATATATAAAGGTCCTTAAAATAGTTCCATCTGAAATGTACAGCAGCATGTTCTACATGTTTCGGAGTCGCTGAGACTCAACTGGCATCAGAACAAACCATCAGTTCCTGAACTCGCTGTGCTGCATAGTAATCCCGTTCCAGTAACTGACTGTAACAAGTGCAGGATGCATCAGGTCCAGTTCACTTCTGCTTGGTCAGGGAACCTGCAAAAGATAGCAGAGACGTGTAATGATCCGAGTAGTATCCAAGCTGCTTCACTTTTTAAAATTGTTGACGAATACTTCAAATGCCCACGTTCAATAATCAATATTCGGGTGCGATTATACTATCGAGAGTGTGGTAAAACTTACATGTATTGAGTACAGCTGAAAACCGAGAACCATTAAAATTAACAGACTGAAATAAGAAGGTAAGATCTGCGCTTTTCTTGTGGGCTGTGATCAGAGATTTTTCAACAGGGATAACCAAACTAGCAGTGTTTCAAGGTGTTCTTAGCGAGGGAATTCGCGAGCGCCACTCGCTTTCACGCTCGATTGGGCCGCCAAAACAAAAGCACTCGCGCTCGAAATACCGCCAGCTACGCAGGCTGAGGTGTTCTTGGCCATCATTGTTACGTGTTTTACCGTGAGTTATGTGCATATGTTGGAGTTTTAGGTCTTCTTGTTAATGTTAGATCTCACAAATGGTAACATTACAAAACTTTTCCTCCCAAAATCCATCTTCAGAATCTTCGAAATTGGTTTTTAAATTTGTTTAGAGGTGAAATTACTTGGTCGCGCTAAAATCGTCATGTAGGCCATATTAGAGAGTCGTAGCTCAACTTAGGTTTCAACTTACCGAAAAATTAATCGGGACCACCGTGCACGCCTAGTTTTTTTAAATCGGGATCGATTGCCACACTACAGATACTGCATATTACTAATATGTCATTAATTCTTCATACGGGGAATGGGGGGCTACTTTGACATTCTCCTCGGGTGTTGGCCTCTGGGCCAAAACCCTGCTGGGGCAATTACTATTATTATGAGAAGAACATAAGATAGAGAAGTTGACAGTACAGAAAGCATCTATGGCCAGGGAATTACTGTTAGATCTACCACTCAGAGGTTTTTCTGCTATTGGACTTCGGTGCTTTTTTGTCGAGAATAGCAATAAACGATCAACCTAACAGCCATACATAATGCAACTAGCTCTAGCCCTAGGAAAACATTAAGAACACGTACCATGAAGGTATTTCTCACCTGTCTTCCCCTCAGCGTCCTGAACGCTCAGCAACTCGACATGAACGAATTTCAGTCTAGCGCCTAACAACCCAATGGCGACAAGAGGCTTGTCCAGACAGGTTCCTAAATACTGGGGTTGCTCTTCAATGTCTAGCACGCTGAGTAGATCACCAGATCTGATGTTAAACAATCGCAGAAAGTTGTCCTTACTGCAGCAAACCAGAGACTCGTCATTAACAACAAACTTGCAGTCAACAATGTCATCTTGGTCTGTCAACAAGCTATGGCGTGTTTCTCCGGTTTTTGCATCAAGAATGTGAACGCCATAACCCGAATAAAAGGAACCCCAAGTGGTAACAAACTGTTCTTCAGGGGAGAACCTGAAGCATGGTTGAAAAGGTCCTTCAAGACGTTTCTCGCTTCTTTCCCATACACGCCTAGGTAAGTTGTTGTTTCTTAAACTAACTGTGAAATGTTCTACCGAAATTGAGGGTTCCACTACAAACTCAATGGTACAAACTAGCAGCTGGTTCTGACTATTGCATGAGATAAACAGTACATCTTCGCCGCGGCAAACCCTTGTCTTGATAGATGATACACACTCTCCATTGGTTACACTGACGATGTCCACAACAAGCATTCGATAGAGTTCAAATCTATTCGAAATCATTAACATTGTTAAACAATTCATAACCTGGTTAATATCACTAGAACCTAATGAAATGTCTAAATTTGATGAATTATGAGAAAATGTTGAATCTCCTTCATCTACAGACTCATCAACATCTTGTTCCACTGACTCATCTTCCGGAAGTAGATCCGCGGAAGTTTCTGCCACTGATGAATGAAAAAAATTGAAATCCAATAATTCGTCAGGCGTTAATGTACGACAGTTCCATACACAGGCTATCAGCTCATCTGATAAATGAATAAG